CTGCTTGTTGCTAATAAAGCGGTGCGTTACTCCAGAAGCTCGCGATTTATGCACCTCTCCATGACTTTACTTATCATAGAAAGCAGAGCTATAGCTTAGCGTCGTATCGTTAGTCTTCCTACAATTGTAGGACGCCTGATGGCCTCCTTGTTTTTCATAGTCTTTCCTCTCCTTCATAAAAGTTGGGATATTTCTACTGTTCCGCGTCAGCGTCAGGGCTCTCTCATTGTCAAGCTATGTTTTCTTCTTGAATTGTAGAAAATTTCAGGCTATATAACAGACGATGTAAATAAAAAAGAATGAACAATTTTATTTAGATAGATTTGTAACATAATCTCAAAACAGAGTAAAAAACTATAAAAATCAAGGAGGCCATAAAGGCGCCCTACAATTGTGGGAATGACTGACGATACGCCCTTGAACACTACAGTAAGAAACTAGCACAAACGCATTATTGAAACAGATAACACGGCCTTGACATAGAAAAAGCACGTATCGTTCAGTAGAGTATGGGGCGGTTGAGAGTGGGGAAATTTTGCTGACAATGGACAAAGCAGTGCCAATCCTGTTTGTGCAGCACCAGCATTAGTACCAGTCAGACCGGTAGCTCATATCGAACGATACAGCGTTTTCTTATGGTCAATAAAATTTTCTCACGCTCAACCGCCTCTTACTCTACTTGTTTTTTATTACGGATTTTGGTGGGCCATAGTTAAACCACGGCGGGGTTCGAAAATGACGATGATATCAATCTATGCTACCTGCACTAAAATTGAATAATTCATCTTGAAAAGCAGTACAAAAATAACGTGAACAAAACAATTCAAAACAATCGACAGATATTTTTCTGGTGCAAAGTTAAAACGTATGTTCGCTTTTATGACCCAAATTGTTTATTGTGTGGTCTTGCGGTCAATATGAAAAAGCACACAACACTGAGGTTGGATTAAAAATAACCCGAATTTCTGCTCGTTCGGAATTTGTTTTTTGGGCTGTGTAGTGGGGAGGATGCTTCTGAAAAATTTACAATACAAATGCCATGGTAGAATAGTTATCAGATATAGATATGTAATATACCGGGCGCTTCAAATTCGACTCTGACCATTAGGAACTCGGACACTGTAAGATATACGAATTGGGTTACATAATAATAATAATAATAATAATATTTATTCACTCAATGTAAAAAGATAACAAAAAATATGAGTAAATAAATATAAAATCAAAACAGGCCCAATAGAAGGCATCGCCTGTACATGGACCAATAAATTTAAGTTGAAACTGTAGAATGCAAATGACAAAAAGGACAAAAATTAGCTACAGTAGATTATGTATTTAGTTGATGTTCGTATTTATGAGTTTATGAATTTCAGTCCTAGATATAGAATGTAGCCACTTTTTTAAATTTCTTTTGAAACAATTTCCGAAACGTAAATCTTTTAAGTCTTTAGGTATAATTTCATAAAATTTAGGGGCTAAATAGAGATATGATCGCTGCATTATAGATTTATGCGGTTGAGGAACTACTGTGCCACGAATTTTGCACCTGGTATAATGATTATGTTTAATTTTTTGGTCGGTGTTTACAAATTTATGGTAGTGAGTGATACTGTGTAAGAAATAAAGCTGTCTTGTATCATACATTCGAACATCTGCGTATAATTTTTCAGTGGGATAAAGTTTCGGTTTTTTAAATATCATTTTTAGAATACTTTTTTGAAAAACATCTAAATTATAGATATGTGAGGAACATGCAGCTCCCCATGCTAATATACCATATGTGAGATGAGGCTCAATCAGTGCATGGTATAATGTTCGAAGATATTTTTCTGTCAATATATTCCCAAGGTATTTAATTTTGTAGGATACAAATCTAACTTTCTTTAAAATATAATTGACATGGATGTCCCATCGTAAGTGAGGATCCAAGACCACTCCAAGGTATTTTATGTTGGGCACTCTATTTTAATTTGCATTTTTTGATCAGTAATATTGAAGGAGAAATTTGTGTAATTTGGCAGATGTCTAGCATAAGATCCAAATGGTAAAAAATGTGTTTTACAGTAGTTAATGCTTAATTTTCTACTGTTAAACCACCGAATAATTTTGATAAAACTAGTTATTTTGCCAACACAATTAATTTGGAAAATATCATTTAAATATATATTGAATAACAGCGGACCTAAGACAGTTCCTTGTGGGACACCACACTTAATACACATTTCTTTACTAAATGATCCTGATTGTGGGCGATTTAACAAATAACTTTCGATCAGTGAGTACGCGTTTCCTCTGAAACCAATTCTCTCCAATGCTTCTAATAATAATTTGTGATTAACTGTGTCGAAAGCTTTCTTTAAATCAACAAAAATGCAGATTGAAGGGATTCTGTTATCAATATTTTGATGTATTTGATTTACAATTTTAGTTATTGCGTCCGATGTAGCCTTCCCTTCTGTAAATCCATATTGATTTTCACTTAAAATTTTGAATTTTGTGAGGTACCGAATCATTCTAGTAGATAAAACTTTTTCAAAAACCTTTGCTACACTGGATATTATTGATATTGGTCTATAGTTGTTAAAATCTGTTTTTGTTCCTGGTTTATGTATCGGTATTATATTACCTTTTTTTAAAATTGAGGGATATATGCCAGATTCAAAGCATTTGTTGATTAGGTAAGTGAGTGGTTCTGTTATGTCCTCGGCTATAATTTTCAAATGCTCGCTTTTAATACCATCGAACCCAGGACTTTTCCGATTTTTTAAGGACATAACAGTGGTGTATACTTCACATTGCTCGACTTTATCCAAAATAAATGAGTTCAAAGTTCTTTTTGGAGGCTGAGTATTTTATACATTTGCTTGTATATTACTTGCTAAATTTTCGCCTATGTCAGTAAAGAATTGTACAAATTCATCGCATATCTGTTGAGTATTTTTCAATACTGTTCCCGATGTTGTATTTAACTCAGTGACACACTCTTTAACTTTTGTTTTCCCAGTAATCTCATCAATAGTTGTCCAAAGCCGTTCAGGATCATTTAAGTTATTATTCAATTTATTTAGGTAATGTTTTCGTTTGGTTTGCCTTACAAGCTCTATAAATTTATTTTTATATTGGTTGTAGTAGTCGGTATTCTCTGTAGTTGGCGTTAGTTTCATTACATTATATAGTCTTTCTTTTTCTATTGCCGATGTTATTAATCAGCAAAGTTGCTCATGTATGTAACTTAGAAAATGTCACTTGGAAAGTTTAGCAGAGAGACGTGAGAAACAGAATTTTTAATATTTTTCTTGGCTTTGAGATGAGGTTTTAAAATAAAAAGTTCTTTAGCATTGCCATTTTTCTCCTATACAAGATGGCATAATTAGAATTTCAATACACCATTTAGACTACGATCCTCAATCAACAACTTTACTCTTTATTATATTTGATTTTAGCACATGCGAATACAGTTTTAAATATATGTCATACATTGACATTGCCTAACCTAAAATGTCCTTGAAATTATCAGATAGTCATTAGCTTCATAATATCATCCAATCACATTCTTACGAACTAGGATTAGGTGATGATATGGATTGGTATTATAAAAATCAAGTATCTAAGAAAGTAATCTTCCTATAGTTAACAATCTAATGCTAAAACTTATTTATATTATTTTAACGGTCGTATTGAAAACACTGAAAACAGAATTATTTTATGTAACTGACAGAAAGATTTTGGTGAGGGAAAAAGCTAAGAAAAAAGCAGTGGCCATATTTATAGAAACGTAAAAAGTTAGGGCCGGTCCGACATCATCCTTTTTCAGGAAATTGACGAGGGTGCTATATGACATATTAAAAAATTCATGAAAAAAGGGTAGGGACATTCTAGGTATATTTTTGAGCACTGGAGAATGTAATGTAAAGTAATTTATGGATAAATTAATGAGAGCCTTTCTGATAGGCTGAAAATGAAACAATTCAAAAAGCATCACTTAAGGTGTTGACATTTTTTTGCTTTGTTTTACAATCAACTGGCAAACCTTCTTTGTAGACTCATACACAATCCAGAAGTGAAGAACCAACAAATACATATTGCATATTTGAATTTCCTTAACCCATTCAAATAAACTCACAGAAAAACCAAATACTTCTAACCTATACATATTGCCTAAAAGGGACAAATAAATGTATCAGTGATTTGAACAAAATAATATAAATAATATTATTTAAAATATTTGTCTTCAAGTAATGTTCCTGAGGGTCCGATCCTGTATTTGCAGCGTCTGACAACAAATTAATCGCTCTTATAAAAATCAAGGTTTTAGTAGTGTTCTACTGGTTATAAAAATACAGTCAGTGCGCCAAGAAGAACGTAACAACTGATTGGCACCGTGAGTACCCTTTGGGCCACTTTCTGATAATAGTTCTGCGTTAAAACCCAATAACATCATAAACATACTGGTAAATTAATCAAACTCCTGGCCGCATACCTTTCCATTTGCGGACAGGACCGTATCTAGAAGAATGTCATATCGTCTTCACCCAGAGCTAACTAGAAACATTTAATATGATTACTCAAACTATGACAAGTAACCCTACCACATCACAAAACCCTACGCCCAAGTCATACTCAAAAGTTGTCTCCCAACACAGCGAAAAACATCCTAACAAAGAACAAGCAATAGTTTTCAGCACTATAGAGGGAGCTAAACTACAAGACTATCTTCTGAAATTAGGTCCACTGGTAGAGCCCAAAAACATTATATTTTGCTCAAGGATCTCGAACAACAGAATATGTGTTTACCTCTCAAGTAAAAGTTTGGTTGACCAGTTCATACAACAGCATGGAGAATTAACCGTAAATGGAGAAATAATAAAAGTTCGTCGCCTAGTTACCCCCTCTGATAGACTGGTAATATCGAACGTTTGTCCGACCATCCCGCATGCAGTTCTAAACGACGCGCTGCAAAAATTGCATTTAAAGCTTTTATCTCCAATTTCATTCCTCAGAATTGGAGCCACTCTAGCGGAGTACAGTCACATTTTGAGTTTTAGGAGGCAAGTTTACATAGCACCTTCAGAGAATACGGATATCCCAGAATCCATAGAGATAACGCACAACGATCTGACCTATCGTATATTTCTTACTTTAGACAGTCAAAAGTGCTACAAATGTAAACTTATTGGACATATTGCTTCACAGTGTCCATCGATTAAGATTTCGCAGACTTCCACAGAATCAGAGACCCTCAACGATGAACTGTCAAACCCATCCGAAAATCAAGTAGTATCAGATATAACTACAGAAGATTCCACCACAGCCCACATACATCTGCCCAAAGAAAATACCAAAGCAATTACGAACAAAAACAGCCACCAACATCCTCAAAACACTAACACAAACATCATTAGCCTACACGGCGAAGGAACACCGAATAATGACGAATTAATAACTCCAAGCGTATCCTCCAAAAGGAGCTTCTCAGAAATACTAACACCAACGGAAGACACAGGTGCACCTCAAAGCTATCAAGTAACATTCACCAAACCGACTGCAGATAACATCAAGAAACACAAACCTGATCAGGAATTAACAATACCCATAAAAAGCAGCCTTGAACCTATCAAAAATTTGATAGAGACTCAGCAGACGGTACTGAACATCGATCAGCTCACCAGTCTGTTGGAAAATGTACATGGAGCTAAGGATGCCATTACTGTAGTAAACAACTATACCTCAGATTTCAGAGCTCTTATAGAAATGCTTCTCCTAATTTACCCCCATTTGACAAACCGCACAATAAAGAACAGATGCACAAGATTAAGGAAAAAATTGGAACACCACATCGATCAAACGGTAGGATCACTAAGCGACACGTCATCCATAGATTCGACGTTTTAATAACAATAAAATTCACGTCAATTCTACAATGGAATTTAAATGGATATCGTATCCATTTGACCATGCTTCGAAAGTTATTAACTGATCACAAACCAGATATCATTTGCCTACAGGAAACTCACTTTAGTGACAGTAAAACACACACGCCTAAGCAGTATATAGGTTATTTCAAAAATAGGAATACGGGAACAGCAAGTGGGGGAGTGGCTATATATACCAAGTCGTATATGCAATCTAGTCAAATCAATCTCGTTACTAATTTAGAAGCTGTAGCAGTTACCATAGAAGATGGAGAGAAGGTCAATATCTGCAATGTATATATCCCACCTAACTACTTTTTGGATAAGAAAGAACTGGAAGACTTGATACAACAAGTTCCCGCTCCTCGCATAATTGTTGGAGACTTTAACGCACATGATTATACGTGGGGATCCTTCAAACATGACCAACGAGGAAACATAGTAAGAGGCATCCTGGACTCAAGCCACCTAGCCTTGCTGAACGACGGTAACTGTACTAGATTCGACGCCGCATCAGGAAGACTCTCCGCAATCGATTTGAGCCTATGCACCCCCGGCCTGCTAACTCACCTAAATTGGAGTACAGAAGATGACTTATATGGAAGCGATCATTTCCCAATACTTATATCAAACAATAAAAACAACAAAAACACTGAATCAACGCCTCCTCAAAAGTGGAGATTAAAACAAGCTAATTGGCATTCATTCTCACACTATATAGATAGTAACCTTGACCGCAGTATAAAATCTAATGTCAGCATAGACTCTATAGTGGAACAGCTCAACAAGACTATAACTGATGCCGCACAACATATCCTAGGTAAAACCACCCACGTAAAAAATAGAAATCCTGTGCCTTGGTGGAACAACGAATGCGAATCTGCACTCAAAGAGAGTAAACAAGCGGTCAATAAGCACAAAAGACAAAAAAATCTCAATACATTAAGGAACCTTCGGAACAAACAGGCCAAATTAAGACTAATAACTAGAAAAAACCAAAAACAATCGTGGCAGAATTACGTCAGTAGCATTAGTTGTAACACACCAATGCCCAAAGTATGGAAAAAGGTGAGAAGCATTTCTGGAACTAAGACTTACTCACCAATAAGATGTCTAAAAGACGGTGAAAACACTGTCACTGAAAGTCATCAAATATCAGAAATATTATCCAAGAAATATTACTCCAACTACAGCAATGGAAACTACTGTTCAGACTTTACGAACTACAAACTAAATGCAGAATCAGTGATAATCCCCATAGAAGACAACAGCGATCCAATCAACCTACCCATCACAGAATTAGAGTTCTTGGATGCACTCAACGACCTGAAAGATACTGCTGCAGGACCAGATGACATTCCGCCTATTTTCCTAAAGAAACTTCCCCCGTCTGCTCATAACCGCTTATTACACATATTCAACACCATCTGGACAACGAACGTTTTCCCCAAAATATGGGGACAAGCAATAACAGTTCCTATCCTGAAGTCTAATAAATCACCCCAGCTACCAGAATCGTACAGGCCTATATCACTAACCTGCTGTATGTGCAAGCTTCTTGAGAAGATAATTAACCGCAGGCTTATGTGGAGTCTCGAACATAAAAACCTATTAGCCTACCAACAAGCTGGTTTCAGATCAAATAGATCTACTATAGATAATATAATAGACTTAGAAACCCACATCCATGAAGCATTCTCGGACAATCAACATTGTATGGCAATTTACTTTGATATCAACAAAGCGTTTGATACAGCCTGGAAATACAACATCATTTCTAAACTCCACAAATGGGGATACAATGGAAACATTCTATCCTTCATTTCCAACTTCCTCGACAACAGATGTTTCCAAGTACGAACAAATGGTGTACTGTCGGAACAAAAACAACAGATCAACGGAATACCTCAAGGCTCTATTATTAGTCCAACTCTATTTCTTATAGCACTTAACGACGTTCTAAGAGATATCGAACTACCTCTTCAGGCCCGTCTATACGCGGACGATATGATCGTATTTGTGAGGGGAAAGAACTTGACAACAAATGCATCGTTATTACAACATTACCTGAATAAGCTGGAATACTGGTCTAAGCAGACAGGATTTACCTTTTCAACAGAGAAAACAACTTGCATCATTTTTTCGAAGAAGCCTGTGCGTGACAAGCCCACTTTAAAGTTGTGCAATAAGATTCTAAAGTACACCAGCGACATCAAATTCTTGGGAATCACATTTGATAATCGACTTAATTGGAAGAAACATATAACAGATGTCATTCAGTCTTGTCAAGCAGGGATCAACATGCTAAAGTACCTATCAAATAGACACTGGGGGGCTGAAAGTAAGACACTGCTTACTATATATAGAGCACTTGTAAGATCCAAGATTGACTATGGCTGCATCGCGTACAACTCAGCAAGACCTTCAGTTCTCAAACCTTTAAACGTGCTTCACAACACTGCGCTGCGATTAATATTAGGAGCATACAGAACCACACCGGTAGACAGTCTGTACTGTGAATCGGGAGAAGCACCATTACACATAAGACGTCAGATAATGAGCCTCACATATTTTAATAAGAAAATCGCAAATATCAATACATCAGCCCATAAATATTTAGCCACTACAAGGTCCTATAGGAATAGCATAACAGGCACTCCTTTTCACAACAGAATCAGAGTCTACTTAAGAAGTCTCGACATCCAGAACGTACCGTCAACACTTACTACTGTCACCGATACCATCCCGCCTTGGATTATTTGTCAACCAGTTACCAATACAACACTCATCAAGTTCAACAAAACCGAAACACCCAATGAAGTTATATACCAGAATTTCTGTAATATCATAAGCGACTATCCAGGGTCAAAACAATTATACACTGATGCTTCAAAAACAAAGCAAAGCGTAGGAGCAGCAGTCATCACTCCCACATCCACAATCAAACTGAAGCTCCCAGCAGCAGCATCCATATTGACGGGTGAGCTTTACGCAATCAGAGAAGCTGTCCAGTTTATCAAAAACAGTCCTTATCAGAGGTGGGTAATAATTACAGACTCCTTAAATTCAATCGAGTCCATAAACAAACTGAATCCCAAAAATCCACTGGTCAACCTAATCAAGGAGGAAATACACCGGAACTTACTTCTAAACAAGGAGATAACTCTATTATGGGTTCCCTCACATAAATCCATATTGGGCAACGAAATGGCGGACAGGGGCGCAAGATCAGCGGCGGACGCCAAAATGCAGACAATACAAAAGATTCCTGTTTCCGATATCAAGACATACTTCCACAACATGGCAATAGAACAGTTTAACAATAAATGGAGAAGCGGATCAGCGAAGCTTCTTGAAGTGAAATCTCGTCTTGGTTCCTGGCAGATCAACACTACAAATAGAAGGCACCAGGTTCTGCTGACCCGTCTTCGTCTGGGACACACCAGGGCCACACATGGTTACCTCATATCGGGAGATCCCGTACCTCTTTGTACAATTTGTGAAGTGTCCCTCACCGTTAAGCACATTTTAGTGGAGTGTCCCATGCTAGAATACCAAAGAGTGTCCTCCAACTTAGGATCTAGCTTAATAGACATTATAGGCTCAGAATGTAACATAAACAATCTACTCTTATTTTTACAAACCACCAACTATGCTCATAAAATTTAGTGTAACACTGTGTACTGCTCCGCCGCTAATGACCATCAGGCCGATGCGGCAATTGTATTTTTTTTTATTGAATAAAAAAAAAAAAAAAAAAAAAAAAAAAAAAAAAGTAATGTTCCTGTAGTAAAATAACTATGGCAACGGCAAAATCTTATTCCGATTCAGAGTATTTTTATACGCGCGACATTTCTATCACCTGTTAGCATTTTACATTCACTGGCTCTCGGATGTCTCATACATATGGTGATACAGCTTTATGAAATATACTGCAATAAATTGAAATGTAGATTTTCTGTATCTAAGTAAGCATATCTGTTTGCAATTTTGGACCAGTGGCAATATGAAACATTCCAGCTATTATGCTTGTATTGTTGTTTGAGATCGATAACGATAACACAAGATACATTAGTAGTTCTTGCCAATCTCATGCTTATCCACTTGTAAATGATTATTGAATAAGCTTGTTCCAGCGATGCGTTGTACCTATTTGATGCCGGGTGTCTCTAGCAGGTGGCTCACCCCTATAACTTTTTTATTTTTAAAGATATAAAAATGAAATTAAGTATGTAGATATATCAAATAAATATGCACTGTGTGACGTATAATTGTTTACTTTTACTCCCGGCTTAGCCGAAAATGACTTTAACTGTGTTAGGTTAAATGGGACACCCGGTATATTTTTGTTTGTTTGAATAGAAAATGACATTCCGAGCAATGAAGCATGCATTTGCTACATAACTCACAAATCTCAATCCAGTGTGTCATGAATATGATAAAATGGTAAATTTTGGATTAAGCAGTCACAGAAAAATTTGTTCCATTGTCTTTTGTTGTTTATACCTTTAGCCTCGTTTAAAGTTTGCAAAATCGTATTTATAATCGTAAGTCAATTTTTTCAAATGAACCGAGGATGGCTCACTAGCAAAGCCTAGTTTAATAATTAACCATGCAGAATTATACAAGAAGCGAACAAGTTGATATGCTTCTTATTTTTGGAGAATCCAGGCAAAATGCCGTACAATCTGCTAGAATTTATGCAGAAAGATTCCCCGATCGCTGTCATCGGACGCGGCGTTACTTCCCAAAATTGGTCTCAAAAATGCAAACGAGCCTAATGAAGTGGCAGAAAATATAATTTTATTGTGAACGAGGACAAAGAAAGCGATGTTTTGGCGTATGTAGAGATTCATACCAATACTTCAGCTGGAGAAATCGTTGCCGAGTGCCAAATATCCAAAAATTCCGTGTGAAAAATTTTATTTAGGTAAAATACCGGTCTTACAAGTATCAATTACATCAGCATCCTATGAAGCT